TGTGCTATCGAAGAAATGCATGCTTAGTGGATCCTCCCTTAGCTATATGTATGTATATAGTTAGGTTGAGTTCTCATGGATCATTGGTCTACATGTATGTGTAGTGTGTCAGGACTTTAGCTAGGAGAATTCTAATTAAATTTTATTGAAAGGAGTATTTATGTAAAACCTACCTAGTCGACCCCTATTAAAGAGGTGAAGAGGCCGGCTAGGATTAGGGTTAGTTAGGAGGTTGCTTCTTAGAGTAGGAGTCTTATTAGGAGTTAGTTAAAAATAGGAGTCTTGAGTAGAAATCCTATTAGGACTTGGGGTTTAGAAGCCCTATAAATAGTCATGTATTCATCTTCTTTTGATAAGCAATAGATGAATATTCTTAGCAGCTTTTAAGCAGCAACTTAGAGGAAGAAACCCATATATAGTTCCAAGGAGGTTGATCCCTTAAAGAGATCAACCCCAAGCTTAGAATCCGTTAGGGTTCTAACACTTGGTATTAGAGCAGCGTTTTTGGCATCTCGTTGTCCTTCCACAACCATCCATCAGCCCTCCACAACCGCCCAAAGTAATTCTCACAATTGCTTAAAAGATCATCGTCAAATTCTATTGTCATCTCCACCACCGTAGATCATCCTTTGATCTCCTCGTGAATTACAACAGGTTCTAGTTTCCTACCTTACTTCTATTGCAATTTAGTTATCATTATTAAAAAATCTAGCCATCCATCAGCCCTCAACAGCAGCCCAAAGTAATTCCCACAATTGCTTAAAAGATCGTCATCGAATTTCGCCATCATCTCCACCATCGCATATCATTCTTTGATCTCCCCGTGAATTACAATAGGTTCTGGTTTCCTACCTTACTGATATTGTAATTTAGTTATCCTTATTCAAAAATCCAAAAAAATCGTTCTTATATTGCTGCATAAACTTTTCGTCATAAAGTTTTTATCTCTACAACGAGATGCACTATAGAATTCTAACCGCATAACACATTTTGTTTGATTTTGCTACTATATTTTTTCTGTCCAAATCTCTACGAAATTTTTATGATAGCTTTGATACTTCCTAACAACGGATTTCCCTTTAGTTTCATCAAAAAATTCTTAATATAAACTACTGATATTTTACATCTAAACTACTAGATGCACTACAGAATTCCAACTGTATAGCACAGATTATTTGATCTTGCTATTATATTTTTTTTGTCCAAATCTCTATGAAATTTTTATAATAGCTTTGACACTTTCTAACAGCGAATTTTCCTTTAGTTTTGTTAAATAATTCTCAATATAAACCACTGACCTTTTACGTCCAAATTGCTATACTTTAGATATAAAAATCTATTGTAGTACCATTTCGTGATCATCAAATTTTTCAAACCTTTCACCACCCCATGCTATTAACCCATCAACAAAAAAAAAACAGGGATATATCTGATCTACAGACATATGCTATGATTTCTCAAGATCCAGTTGATGCCAAATTTGAAGCATAAGAATCTCAGATTGAATCGCGGCTTGAATCGCGCTTGGAGGACAAATTGCGCGCTTTGTTTGCAGAATTCAGAATTGGACAACCACCAAGTCCAACCAAATTTCAGCGAAGAGAGAGTTCAGAGAGTCCTTCTGAGATGGAGGGATAGCCCTTGAACATACTTCAGCCACACATAAGGATGGACTTCCCACGATGGAAAGAAGGAGACCAGGCGAGGTGTATTTCACGCACCGAATGTTACTTTCACTACTAATGAACATCGGATGATGCTATGGTGGAAATTATTGCCATCAACCTTGAAGGAAATGCTATTAAATGGTATAATTTGCTGGAATATAATCTTGGGGCTCTAACATGGAATCAATTTAAGAACGCACTGCTAAATCATTTCGGACCTACTGAGTATGAAAATATCAATGGCCAACTCGCAAAGATTCGACAAGCCTCTATGATTCAAGAGTACAAAATCAGGTTTGAGAAGTTATCATACCTTGCTCATGATTGAACTGATCGTTAATTGTTAGGACCATTCATCGAATGACTCAAGCCAGAGATAAAAGGGGAGGTTAAGGTGCGACAGCCCCGTACCGTGACAACTGCGATTTCTTTCTCCCGAATATAAGAAGAACGTCTCAACCAAGATGCTCGGAGGATGAGAACCTCTCCTAGGCCCATAGCATATAGACCTCCTTCTGCTCCCAGCTATCCTTCGTTGCCAAAAAAATTGATAAGAGAAGAACTACGTAACCGATCAGCAAAGGGTCTTTGTTGGCATTGCGACGAGTTATGGAACCACGATTATCGCTACAAAAGGGGCCACCTCCCACTAATTGAACCTCTTGAAGACATGGAGGAGGTCCAGGAGCATAAGAAAGAGGTTACGGATGAAGAACAGTTGCCGATCAATATTACGATGCATGCCCTTGCTGGTTACGTGAACCTGCAAATGATGAAAGTGGGAGGACTTCTGAAGCAACAATCTATCACCATTCTTATTGATATCGGGAGCACTAATAATTATGTTTTGACCATATTTTTTTTCTGAAATTATCTTCGTAAGTTTGTACTAGTTTTCTTTGATGATATTCTTATTTACAGTCATTCTCTTGAAAGTCATTTTCAGTACTTACAACTTGTTTTGACGATTTTGCGAGAACATATTTTTTTGGTCAAAAAATCGAAGTGCATCTTTCTTCAACAGAAGATGGAATATCTTGAGCATATTATATCAGAGGCAGGTGTGGTGGTGGATCTCTCCAAAATTAAAGTAATGCATATCTGACCGATCCCGAGGAACATAAAATCGTTACGCGACTTTCTAAGTTTAACAGGCTAGTACCACAAGTTCGTGAAATTCTATAGAAAGATCAGTGCACCCCTTATTTCCTTATTGGAAAAAGATGCTTTCCAATAGTCAAACAAAGCCACCATCGCCTTCGACGAACTTAAAACCGCAATGACGACAACACCCGTACTAACGTTACCCGAATTCGGCAAGACCTTTGTTATTGAAGCCTATACCTCTGAAGTCAGAATTAGTGCTGTACTAATGCAAGATGGCTGCCCTCTTGCTTATACTAGCAAGGCATTATCTCCTTCTCATCTCAAGATGACTATTTATGATAAGGAGATGCTCGCGATTGTGCATGCGGTGGTCAAATGGAGAATGTACTTGATCGGGCGACGCTTTCAAATCAAGACCAACCATAAAAGTCTAAAATATTTCTTGGAGCAGAAGATATCTTCCCCCGAGTAACAAAAATGGGTAACAATGCTTCTTGCATATGATTATGAAATAACTTACAAAAAGGTGAAAGAGAATATTGTAAAATTGCATGGGATGCCGAGATCTATTGTAAGTGATTGTGATAGGGTCTTCATAAGCAGATTTTAGACAGAGTTATTCTGCATAATACTAAATTGAAAATGAGTACGACATATCACCCACAAATCAACGGTTAGACTGAAGTGGTGAATAGGTGCTTGGAGACATACCTCAGATGCTTCACCAATGACTGGCCAAAAGAGTGGACAAAGTGGCTTCCTTGGGCCGAGTGGTGGTATAATACAACTTATCATTCATCCATAAAATGTACTCCCTATGAGGCTATGTATGGTCGACCTCCCTTGTGATCCTAAAATATGTATTGGGCACCTCTAAAGTAGAACAAGTAGACAAGGAACTAGAGACAAAATGCTGAAGTTACTAAAAGATAATATTACTACAGCCTAAGCAAGGATGAAACAGTAATATGATCAACACAAAAGAGAAGGAGGATTTTCAGTAGGAGATTGGGTCTTCCTACGACTTCAGCCATACATGCAAATATCAATCCAGACCAGAGCATCTATGAAGTTTTAACCTCAGTTCTATGGACCCTACCAAATTTTGGAGCGCATCGGAGCGATAGTATACAGATTGGACTTACTTGCTAGCTCTCGAATCCATCCAGTCTTCCATGCATTGTGTTTAAAGCTCAAGCTGGGATAAAACGAGATAGCCCAAAGTCATCTACCAAATATAACTACCTAAGGAGAACTCTAGACCCATCCGAGTACCATTATTAATCGACGGATCGTGACTCGACGACGATGACCCACTACTAAAATACAAATACAGTGGGCGAACCTACCAGCAGAAGATGTCACTTGGGAGAATTATGACGACTTGAAAATTAAATTCCTAAAATTTATGGACTGTCAACCTCGATGACAAGACTAATTTGAAGAGGACGGATCTGTTAGGGCGCTAGCTAGGAGAGTCTTAATTGAATTTTATTGAAAGGAGCATTCATGTAAAACCTCCCTAGTTGACTCCTATTAAAGAGGTGAAGAGGCCGACTAGGGTTAGGATTAGTTGAGAGGTTGCTTCTTCGAGTAGGAGTCTTATTAGAAGTTGGTTAAAAGTATGAGTCTTGAGTATGAGTCATATTAGGAATTGGGGTTTAGAACCCTCGTAAATAATAATGTATTCATCCTTTTTTTGACAAATAACAGATGAATCTTCTTAATAATCTTTAAGCAGCAATTTAGAGGAAGAAACCCTAGAGTTACAAGGAGATCGAACCTGACCGATCAACCAGCAGTGCCTATGATAGAAGGTGCAATCAACAGGAAGTCCTCTTCAATACCGGAGATATTTGGCAAATCTGCTCCATTAGCTCTTTTTTTTTTCATTTTTTTTTTGTGATGGGGTTAGTCACAAGACAAGGCAAGTCAAAGCTCAACTTTCAAGATGTGTTGAAGTCAACAACTCCATCATAAAAGAATACATTAGTAACAAGAAATCACAAAACAGTCGGAGCAAAGTCTGCTGCTGCTGTATACATGCATTCATGTTGTCTTTGTCCATGTCTCTTGCTGGATAACAATGTCTGAGTTGCACAACAAATTTAAGCTCTTCGAATGCCATAACAACATGCAACAGCTGCACAAGAAGGAATGGTTGAGAGAATGGAGGAAAAATATATTACGATCTTGAATTGGACTCATTTAAAAGAAAAACAAGCCGAACAAAGACAATTCAGGAGTAGCTTCACTATTGCCAGCACGAAATTGTTCAGCATACATTCTAGGAAGATAAAAGCTACAAATTGTAGATTCATGAAGAGTAAATCAGTCCAATCAGATACGCAAACAGTTTAATTATAGGGAACTTGAATCCTTTCTGGACCCGCAATCATATCCTCCCAGAGCAGATCAGAGAGAGCGAGCGTCACTTCCCCAACTTTTCCTGACATAAACATGAAAACATAACTACATAAGAGAGTCGCAACCAAGAATTTAGTATTATCTGCAACGAAAGAATAATTACTACCATCTCCAATTAGTTGATCATCCCACTGCACTATAGGCATTACGGGCAGCCCACTCCCAACAAACATCATTTCATCTGATTCTTTAGCTTGATCTATTGTCATATGAGCAGTCCTGATGGCTTTTAGGAGACCTTTCTTGATTAACTTGGGTGCTAGCGCCACAAGCCTCTTAACGGTGCAGCCACTAAGTATCTTATCGAATGGTGGAAGCAGCAATTCCTTGCCCTTGCTTATAAATGCAACATTAACATTAGGGCCCTCTGCAATATAACCCTGGTCATCAACCCAGATCGAGGCAAAGGCACCCTTCTCTTCTGCTTCCATTACCGAAAGAACATTTTGGATATAGTTCACATTCTTCATAGTAGCAAATAGAGGAGGCTTCATTGGTATGGTGGATGTAATAACTTTGACACCTTCCTTGCATTGAGAATAGTCAACATCAATAACTACCGCATAGAAGGCGGCCTCTGGACAGCCTGCTGGTGATAACAAGAAATTCCCGGGACCTGCACTCAGCCAGTATCTAATTGAGCCCCTTTTGCACTTGGATGCTGCAGTCATTTCGATAAGTATACTACGCAAAATTTCGCGAGGGAAGGGGGAAGTGATCTTTGCTTTCGATGCAGACCTCAAGAATCGGTCCAAGTGGGCATCCAGCTCATACAGATACCTGTATATGTACACTCAGAGTCACATAAGCAATTACATTTTGGACGAGGAAAAAATCATGTTCAAACCAGCCAACCCTATTTTACAACTTTTTTTGTGCTGTGCATTTTATTGAAATGAGAAGTAAACTAAACAATGTTTCGGTCAACCATTTTTTGCAATTTGCAGACCCTTAACTCTGAATTCGATTTACCACTACCTCTGTTTTCTTTATAAAAGCAAATGCTTCTCATTTCCTTATACCTGATTAGATATCTTCTTTGCGACAATAATGGTTTAAGACCCACCTATGTCAGATAGCTGTAAGTCATTTACCTCCGCAAGTCAAATCCTTCTATTGCAACTCCATGAAAAAGGTAAATTCACATGCATATCCAGAATAATCAGAGCTAACAATGAGTGGTTAACTCAAGTAATTATAACAGAAAGGAAAAATGATGGGAAGTAAACAATGTAGAAATTTGGTTCTCGGATAGCCTGTGTGACATCCGGATGCTATGTAGAAACAAATAGTGAATCAAACTTATATAACAGTGACTAACAAGTATCCTAGGAAATCCAAAACCATGGTCTTTCAATCAGATTTCAACAAGGAAACTAACCACCGAATGCAAAATATAAAAACCAGCTGAAACAACTCATTCTAGACTACAAGCTGAACTTTGTATGAAACCATTTGCAAAGAGAGCAACATAAGTAAAATTTGAGCCCACCCATCCATAAGCATGGCGGTATCGAACACGCCATGCCCTCTATGAACCATGTGATCGTCGATGGGGATCACCATCACGGTCGGATCGAGAATTATCCCCCCGAAGACGCTGGAATACATCGCCGGGTACGGTTGCTTCTTCACGCTGCTCCATTTCTCCTTCAGCTTCTCCACAACCTAACAATCAGTTCGATCAACAACTCACTCGAATAAAAGAGGGAACTTTCTGCGATTAGGTTTCCGTAGGCTTTCAATTCAGACAGAAACGATGCCGATGGACGCTGAAACTCGAAGGAAAGAGGTTTCAGTTCGTCTACCTCGGTGGCCGACGAGTAAACTGGAACGCGGTGATGGCCTGAAACGTCGTCCTCCATGGCGAGGGAATCGAAGGGCGGAGCGCAGGTGGGCGGGCGTTCGCCGAGGAGAGGAGGGGTTAAGTAGAGACGCGAAGAGATGCTTTCGCTTGTCGAGTAGCGACGGAGGAGGCCAAACGATGGAGATTAAACGTTACTTTGTTGCCGGCCGCTCTAAAGGACAGCTATTGCTATTATAATCTCCGCAGGTTAATACTCGTATCTTCCATCATAATTACGGGCGTTAGATGTGGCGTTATCTTCGATCGAGATGGTCAGTAAATTGGGTTGGTCAACGTGAATAATAGATCACAATTGGATTGGGCCAGAGCTCGCTGGGCCCGCTTGCGCCGGACTGCACGAGTCAGGCTGGCGCCGCTGGGCTAGCCGGATCAGCTCAGTGGGGTTCATCTCACCTTTCAACCATGCCTCCTCCCTCTATTATCGGGTTTAGTTCGGATCGGATCGGATCATCCTATAATATAAATTCAAATAATATTATTGGAATCAGATATAAGATCTAAATAAAAAGGAGATTACCATAGGCTTTATTTTTCGTTATTTTCTTTGTATTATTCAGATATCTCATTTATTTGCTGATAGTGCTCGGAGGCGGATTCTCTCTCTACCCGAGGGAAGCGAGTGGCGTGAAGCGACCAAGCGGGTCAGGTTCGGATCTAACGAATCCGGATCCGAAATCGCAACACGATATCAGTTTAATCGGAGAGGGAACGACGGGTTCCCCCCTCTTCATCGCGTACGAACTCCGTCGCCGCCCGCAGCGATTCCTCCTCCTCCCTCTGTTGGTAAGATCTCGGTGAACTTCTTCTTCCTTTGATCCTCTCTTTAAGCCCTAACATCGATGTTTCTACTCCCAAAGGATCACCACCCCCCTTTCATCATCGATCGATCTGCTCATCTGGGACTCGATGATGATCGCTGTTTGGATCCTTAGCTAATTTGATTTGATTCCGTATAAAGACCCCGGAAAATAGTGATTCCGAACTGATCCAAAGTTGAATTTGTTGTCCGATTAGGATTGATTTCTGTTCCATGTGACCTCTCAGATCGTTGCTGGTGGAATCGAGGATGCAGATCGAAGTACCCAATATAAAGAAATGGAACGTGATATACCCGGTGTACATCAACTCAAAGAAGACGGTCACCGAGGGCCGCAGGGTCGGTGCGACGAAGGCATGCGAGAATCCCACTTGCATTGAGATCGGTGACTGCTGTAGTTATCTCAAGATTCCATTTGCCATCGAGGTGCGTCAACCCACGGCACTTTTCTCCTTCCTCGGTTCATAATTTGTTGACTCGTAGATGTATGCCTTTAAACCTCTGCAGTTAGACAAGGCATATTCTCGGGACTTCATGCAGAGAGGGAGGGTCAGAGTCCTGCTGAAAAGAGAAGATGGGTCTCTCTGTAACACCGACATTGGTTCAAGTAAGGGATCTCGATATCTGGATTTTTCTCCATGTTGTATAACTATGTTTTCTATTAGTAGGTAAACAGGAACATTAGTATATAAAGTTATTTCAGAGCCAAAAGTGCCAACCATGTGGTACAGTTGATGGCCAATGTTAAGCTGATGCACCAAAGAACATTATGATGCTTTAGACTTCAGATACTTGTCAGATTTCTTCTTTATGACTTTGGAAATAATAATAAGGTATTTCTAAGGACCTATTCTTGTTGGTACAACAAAAGAAGGAAAGTTTTGTAGAATACATTGTGAATATAGGTTTTGCTGAATATTTATGCTGGTAATTTGCCAGTTAAGAAATTCATCATTCATTTTGTAAGTAAGAAGGAAAACTAAGATTATTTTTTGTGTGCCAAAGTGCTAGAGTTTCACGCTAAGGTTTTAAGTAGATGAGGACTTGATTATTTAAGTGGTATTCTTCTTCTTTCAGTTTCTTTCTAGAGCAAGCCAGGAAAACTAAGTATTGTTATCATTATTACTAGTGAATTCGAACCTCATTGATTCTCATGTAATGTTGTAAATTCAGAAGTTTATGCAGCATGGCTGCATAATTGATTTCTTCCGGTATGTGAAGTATTCTTGCCACAACCATTATGAGCCACAAAACTAATTCTCATGTGCTGTGGTCTTTTAATTTATAGTATTAGGTTCAAGGATCTTATGTGATTCAGTTCACTCTTCTAGTTGAATTTTGCTCCATTCTAAAAACTGGAGAGGATGGTTGTGTTGGAGTTCACTCGTATCTTCTTGCACTTTTTTCCTTGTAAAAAGTGGCAATGATGGTCTTCACAGTGGCCAGACACTGCAGTGTTCTGCGCCTACAATTACAACAGTGCACCATGTATAGAGTGTTTTTTATGCTTAAATTTGTGGTGTCCAACATGGTAGCCTTTAACAAGATTAAAATTCAATAAAAGTTCTGAATATATTTCAGCTTTCCTAGTTCCCTGAAACCTCTGTTTGCTCCAAATGGATCTGTAGTATCTTTTAGTCTGATGTTCTCAACTCATTTGATCTTTTTTTTTAACATGTTTATTTCATCATTTTGTTTTCTACTGGGACTATACCTGGTTGCTTACAAATAAAAACATCTTTTTCTTACTTTCTCACAAGCATTACATGATATTTTCATCTTGGTCACACTAACATTTTTTTTACATGATTTTTCATGACTGTTTGACACTCTGGTCTATGAGGCATGAATTATATTAATTTGAGGGCCATGCCACAATCAAACAGAAATTGTGATGTTCTCTTCGTTTTAACTGCTCCAATTTTAGTCTGTGGATAATGTCTTCATCATTCCTTTCTTCATTATTAATCTTTACTGCTACTTATGAATCTTAAATTTATCTCACTACTAATAATTTATGCTGCAACCATTCAAATTTAACTTAGAAATTCTGAGATCACCTGCCAGCCATCAAAAAGAATGAGTTGCGCTCCTGTGGCCAGTTAATGAACACTTTTTTATTTTTCAGGGTCCTCTAGAATGAGATTATTCAATTTTCAGTCTATCCAACAAATATTATTTTACATATGAGAACTGTGCATTCTGTTCCCTCGCCACCGCTTAGTGGATTTTCATTAAGGACCATCCAACCTATCTTTTTTCCTATTTTCTTCTTGTTTCTTGTCAATGCACTTACCAGTTGTTGATGAACTACAGAAAAGCAACTGATGCTGAGGGTGGCGGAGTTAATTCCGAAGCACCATGGAAGGACTAAAAAGCAGGAGCCTGCGAACACTTCTACTGCAACAGTAGGACCTTCAAAATCCGGAAAGGGAGGAAAGAAGAAAAGATGATCGTATGCCAATTACAGACGCATCGCCTCTAGAAAGTTTGTCATAATGTCGGAAGAATATAAAATTACCTCTGAAGCTAACTTTGGAGTGACAGAAATCTTCGGTAACATGACTTTGTCCACATATTCATCCCGTTGCACTTTTGACTTTCATCTTTTATCTTTTTCCTGTCATATTAGATTTTACTCAGAATATTTAGTGTAGTTGTTGTCGGCCCTTTTGATTGCTTAACTCGTACCAATTTATGAACAATATCTCATCACGTGTAGTCGAGTCTTTTTCATTGCTTGTGAATCTTTTTGAATTAGATAGATCGTAAACCGCATCAGATATGAATCTTTTTGAAGTTTCAGGATGAATCAGATACATATCGTAAGCTAGGTAATGAATCTTTTTGAAGATTTATTTTATTGCAACTCCAAGATAGATTTAAAATGCTAGTAAAATTTTGGCTAGTCAAGATGTATAGTGGTAGTTAGGGATCTAAAAAGTTGACATTCATGAAACAATGTTCCATATCCATATTTGGATTATCAAATTTTGAGACACTCTTGAGATATCATATATATAAATCGAGGATTAATTACATATTATCTCATACAGTTAGATCTTTTTAATGTTTTGATCTAATCTCTAGATAAAAAATTTACATTGAAAACTCTAATCTCTAGATAAAAAATTTACATTGAAAACTCAATAGTTATGAAAGTGAACGACACCAAAGGAGGAAGAGGAGGATTAAACAATATATTTAGGATTAAACAATATCTTTTTAGCGTTTCGATCTGATCTCTAGATAAAATAATTAGGATTAAATAATATATGCATGAATGACGTCAAAGGAGGCAAAGCGATATAAAATTGACGCAGATCTCACTATCAATATTCGAATCGATATCGACAAGATATACCATTGTGTTGTTATCACCAACCACTACCACAATAATCACCTACGATACCATTGTCCGCCGCCGCTATCATTAAAATTATTTTTTAACTATCGTTTTCGTGCCATTCATGCATATACTATCATATGCTATATCCTTTGTCAATAAGACTGATGATATTAGGATAAATGTGATTAAATATTTTGTTTTTATAATTATATAATTTTTTTAAGCATAAGTATCAGAATCCTAAAGATGTCTAACGACAAAAGATAATATATAATTAGCCCATAAACTAAAGGTTAAAATAAGATGAACTAAGATTCTTTTAACATATGAGACAAGATAAAAAAAAGGAAAGTCATGGCACTCTCCATGGACAAATAATATATCATCCAACACTGCAAGCGAATGGTATATTACACATGTAAAAGAATGCCAGCTTAAGGTTTCACAAGATACTGAAATATCAAATCCACCTCCAATTCTTCAGAAAATAATTATAGAAATACCCATTGCAAAGCATCCAAAGGCTACCCAGGGGCTTAGGCGTTCACCTGATTAAAATTGAGATGGTTGTCAGATGAATACACAAACTTCAGCAAGTTCCTACAGTGTCTGGAAAAAAAAAAAAGAGAAAAAGATGATTGACAAAGGAAAAGTTGCCTACACAACCAGTAATAATGATGCATAGACATGGTAGCTAATTGTGGGAAGACGGATAAAGGGAGGCATAAACAAGACTTTACTGAGACAGAAGGAAAGATTTGAATGCTATTTAAGTTAATGAGATACTTCAACTGGTAAATAGAACCATGTAGTCAATTCCAATTTAGTTGGGTCATTATGGCTCATTGTTGCATGGATATAGTAGCTTGGAGAGGCTCAAATGGGTTTTCGGAAGATGCATCTGGTTCAATAACTCAAGACACCAAGAAAGAATTCTAGGCATCTAAAAGGTCTACGAAATTGCCTATGCATCCAGTAATTCACACGGCAGCTAGTAGATAGTAGGTAGACTTTGCTAGATAGAAAAAAAGATTTAAATGCTCTTTTATCTGACCAGAGATTTTGCCTCGTCAAATGTTCCAGATCCATGTAGCTGACCCCAAATAGTTGGGTCTTTATGATTTATTGTTGCATATATATAGTAGCTTGAAGATGCTCAAGTTTTTATAGCATGGTTATGCTTCAAAAGCTCAACAGACTAAGAAAGAATTCTAGGCAACCAAAATATCTAAAAGCAAATGAGAACCATTTAATCATTTACTCCAAGTATGACAAAATTCATGATGTTCATAAATCAGTGATGACCTTGATTAAGAAAAAACTTCATATATCAGCTAATTTAGAAAATCACAATGCTGTGTTTTCTAACTAAGATTGCTTGTCTACTCTTTTTATATTAAGTTCTTTGCTAGTTCAAATAATTTCCTATACTTTCACATGTGAAACATTCTTCAATGTTGTTGGTTACAGTGAAGGGCATGCATTTGTTTGCAATGACCTCAGTCCTACGAGAAAATTTAGTTCTATCCTTTTAGATTAATCTCAACTATACTGAAAATACCAAAATATCTTAAGTTGTCAGCAAACAGCATATGTAGGACTGTCATTCTAGTTAAGACAGCTGAAGCTTAGGTTTAAATTCTGCTTCGAGTAAATACTTTAACCTCTTAATGACTCTTTTCAAATCCCAGTAGAAATTATAAACCAAACATTCAGAATTCATTCTAAGTTACTATCATGTGGAATATGCAAAATGCAGCATTATGACAATCAACTCCATCACAAACAATCACATTCCATAGTAAAGTTTGTTATTTTTATTTAAAAATCTTTATTTCATGAATTTTTGGTTTGAGTCTCTAAATATAGTATAGTTTACTGCTGATATATGCAGTGTTCATATTCTACAACCTATATTATCAGTAAGAAATTTACAATACAATAAAAGAAGTATCAAAAACTAATGGCAAAGTTTCCAATCATCCACTTCTAGCGAGTTAAACATTTAAATAATGTACCTATTCTAGCTGCCTTCCAGAAGAAGCCACGAAACCTGCCAAAATTGAAGTTCTAATATGAAACACTACTCAATTATATAATGAGATAGATAATTTTTCATATCATCACCAAATAATTTATAAGAGTTACAAATTTGTATCTTGAACATTACCTATGTGTGTTTCAAATTCTTCATCCATTAAAACAATACAAGAGTATGTTTGGAAGAAGAGCTACATTGTTTAATAGCAGACAATGAAACCGATGTAAACATAAGCACTTGTGGGAAACAGCACTCTTAACAGTTAAGCAAACTGATAGGTGATTTACTATCCATACAAAGCACCTATATTGCTGTACGAAACTTGAAAATGCTCTCAAACAACACCTAAAATTAAATTGTTAGCTGGTCATCTTCCACAAAATCAACAGAAAGCAGGCTGTCGACTTTCTGCCAGTCAAGTTTCTAAATTTGTCTTAATCCGACTTTTGTCAAGACTATTTTGTTCTTCAACAGAAATTTCATAACCATCACCATGGTTACCATTTGACAAAAACAATTTGCTCTTCAAATTTTTCATGAAGATCCTTTCTTTGAAAAGCGAAGAAGGCCAGAAACCATATAACTCAATGTCATGCAGCTTGCTCATTTGCCATTAAGATAGCTGGGAGGCATATAATTAAAGTTCTCAGATACTTAGAAGCCTATTATTCAAGTTCTTTCTTATGCTTTTTGTTCCTTGTATGCGTAAGTGTGTCTTAAAAATAATACAGTTTTATTAATGTATTTAAGAGTCCTCACGTTCCTCCATTTTGTTCTATTTTATCAGACAACATTCTAATATGTCCAGAAACCAGTCAGTAACAATCACTCCATCCATGCTACAGGAGGAAGAAAAGAGGCCTTTTTCCACCGTCCTTTTGCATTGTCCCAATAAATCCCCCTTGCGTTTCCCTTCTCCTCACCACTAACCTGCTTAGATTTTCCATTCCCACAACATCTCCATCATTCTACCCGATTAAAGCTGCTTAATTGCTTCTAGTGCTAGCAAAAAGACCCTCTTTCGCATTTTCCATCGCTTCTTACCCGCAAATCATTAAGTTGTTACAACGCACAGGTTCCCATGAGAAACCCTAGAATCGAGAAAGAAGAATAAGTAGATCCATATTTACCCGGTCTTCCTCTCGAGGATGGCAGGGAACTGCATCTTGATGTAGGTGCAGGTGCAGATCACCAGCAGCACCACCGTCAGGAACGAGTGGAAATTGAACAGCGCCGACTGCGGGAGAGGGTAAGCACAGCATCGGCGTCAAAGATCCGCCACAAAACCCCCAAATTTAACCAAGATTGAGCGAAGAAAAGAGAAGAAAGATGAATCCAAAGGACGATGCGGGTGCCGATCATTACCATGGGAGGTGATTCAGGGCCTGATCGAGGGTTTCATTACCATGGCCGGAGGCCGAGCTCGTCATATTCTTTCTTAATGAGCACGAAGCAGAGGGGAATACACGATGCAATTTTTATTTTAGCCCCTCACACAGTCATATTCTTTATTAATTACCCCAAGACTCGATATATATATATATATATATATTCTTAAATCATTTATATAGCTCACTTTTGATAAACTTAGGTAAACTATTAGTAACCAAAATTGTCAATAAATTAATTTGTTTTTAATTTTAAAATATATAATGATTTCACTTATCATTTTTATTGACATTTTAACTCCGTTTTTGTAATTAAATTTAGATAATATTAAAATTACAAATATATGAGGATATACCTATAATATTTTGAAGGGTATAAATGGTAAACTAAAATTTTAGATTTTGTTTAAAATTTACTACATCTCTTTTTTACTATTTATAATGTAACACCCTACTCTTAACTCTGCATGATTAAAGTAGTATGTCATTTTTTAATTTAATTACTACTATTAGTATGAGTATAGTAAAAAATAGATAATCTTAAAAATAAAATATATTAATTTATAAAACAAAATGATAGGAGTAATTGAATATATGAAGAGGAGGTAGAGGTATGGGAGAGTGGAGGGTGGGGTTGAGGGGGAGAAGGACGAGTAAGTGATGGAGAAGATAAATGGGTGTAACATCCTACTTCTAATTCCACTATGCTAATTTACTAGATAAAATGATAGAGTTTTAACACATGTCTATAATTAATACATTTAAGTAAAAAAAAAAATTTATACACATAAAAATATTCATAGGTCATCGATCATATCTAAGTTGACATGGTTCGCATATTCTCACTTTTCCTACCTAACCACTGTTAGGATCGTAATAACATTAAGAGTGGGGTGAATTAGTGTTAAAGTAAAATTTTATCCGATTTTAAAGTTCAATCGATAAATATTTATTGGAAATACAATTAACCAAAAATACGAGTAAGGGTTACTATTGAATCTCAGATTTTAATAATGAAATCAATTGGTAAATTATTTGATCTAATCTATATGTTGAGAAAAGTATACAGGATTAATTATGATAGCAGTAAGACATAAAGCAGATGTTGAGCCGGAGTTAAGATCGAGACTTCGTTGGGAGTTCGAGAGTTCGTCGGAAGTCTAGACGTTTGTCGGAAGTACTGTCGGAACTAAACGAGAAGTCCAGAAGCTTGCCAAAGAAGCTCGACGGAACTCGCCAAGAAGATCGTCGTAAAGTCCAACAGCTTACCAGGAGTCTGCCGGAACATTACTGAGAGATTGTCGGAAGTTCGTTAGAAGATCGTCCGAAGCTCACCGAAAGAACAATTGATGTACTGGAACAAGAATACTTTATTAAATATCTTAATTATTGTAGTTATACCTTAAGTTGAGTTATGATTAGGAGGTAATCCCACTAACTCAATTAAGAGTCAACTGAGCCCTTAATATGATTGAATTAGGTTGGTTGAAACAGCCCATTTAGCACTTGAAGTCACGGTTGACAGTGGCACCACCACCTAGTGACCCAATCTCCCAAGTGGTTTGGGTGGTGGTACCGCCCAGACTGGGTGGTGGTACTGCCAGAGCTCGGTCTCCAAGCTCTATCAGGTGATGGCACCACCTAGTGTCAAAGTGTCAAGCGGTGGTACCATCAGTACCACAAAAATTCAGAATGAGACACTTTTTGGCTCTAATTTTGAAGCCATTATGGCCGATAAATAGCCCACCCTTTTCTACATAAAAGGATACGAAAGTGTAAAAAACATTGAGTTCTTGGGGTGTTAAAAGTGTTATAAAAGTGAAAAGAGTCCTCTTCCTCCCTTTCTAAGTATTGAGATCGTTCAAGAGAGGTGTGAGACTTGTAAATGTTATCTCCTAAACCCGTGAAAAGGAGAAACAACTGTAAAGAGGTGGTTGGTCTTTGCCTATTGAAGGAAGACCATTAGTGGATGTCGGTGACCTCGATGGAGGAGGAATCAGAAGTGGATGTAGGTCACAACGACCAAACCACTATAAATTCTGGTGTGCTCATTTCCATTCTACTTTTCATTACTGTTATTACTTTCTTAGGTAATTGCTAGTTCTTTTATTCTAAAGCCGAGCACTTTCGGAAATTGATTTTCGACAAACAAAATATTTTATAAACCGACGATTTTCTCTACTGCACTAATTAAACCCCCCCTCTCTTAGTGCCGCTCTTGATCCTAACAATTGGTATCAGAGCAAGGTCACTCTCGTTTGGTTTGAAACCCAAGAGAGATGCCATTTGCCGGCAACCAAGATGATCATTCAATTACACGTCCACTCAAGTTCAATGAGACGGATTACATATATTAGAAGACTAGAATGAGGATCTTTCTAATTTCAATGAATTTTGAGTTATGGAACCTTATGGAAAATGGCTTTCAAAAGTCTTCTCTTTCAATAAATGATTAGAATGAGTTGGAGAAGAAGACTTTCGCTTTAAATACCAAGGCTATGAATGCCTTGTTTTGTGCTTTAGATAAAAACGAGTTCAATCGAGTGTCTATTTGTGAAACGACTTTTGATATTTGACACACACTTGAAATCACTCACGAAGGTGCTAGTAGAGTAAAGGAGTCAAAGATAAACCTTTTAGTTCATACTTAAATTGTTTCGAATGAAGCCAAGCGAAACTATTATCGACATGTACACCCGTTTTATGGATGTCGTTAATAGTTTAAAAGCTCTTGGCAAATATTTTTCGAACTTTGAACTTGTTAATAAAATCTTGAGATCCCTTCCAAAGAGTTGAGACCCTAAAGTAATGGTCATTCAAGAGGCTAGGGATTTAAATAACTTTTCTCTCGAAGAATTTATCAGGTCACTAATGACCTATGAGATGACTTGCAATGCTCATGATGAACTTGAGAACAACCTTCCAAAGAACATGAAGGATATGACACTAAGAACTTATGAAGATCACTTGAAAGAAAATTCAAGTGATGAGGGCTATGATGATGACTTTGCACTCTTGACAAGAAAGTTAAAAAAATTTATAAAAATGAATAAATTTAAAAATAACACTAAAAATAAAATTGAACTTAAGAAAGAACAAGTTATATTCTATGAATGCAAAAAGCCGGGACATTTCAAAAGTGAATGTCCCCAAGCAAAGAAGAAGCAACCAAAGAATAAGAAGACTCTTAAAGCAACATGGGACGACTCAAGTGCGTCCGAAGAAGAGGAGCCAACTAACACAATGCAAGTTGCTCACTACACACTAATGGCTATCGGAGATGAGGTAAGCAGTTCATTAGATGCAAATTTATCTTTCGATGAGCTTCTAGGTGCTTTTCATGAATTGTTTGATGAATGTAGAACTTTGAGTAAAAAGTATAACTCTTTGAAAAAGAAGCATGCCATTTTAAATGTTGAATTTGAAAAACTTAAGCATGATAATCCTTCTTTGCCTCCATGTACTAAGTGTGAACACTTAGGTGCACTTAAGAAGGAAAAATTACTACTCAAAAGAAATCTTAGAAAAGTTTGAGGTTGGTAGCAAGTCCTTGAACATGATCCTTGCCAATAAGGGTCACGTTCATAGAAGAGGCGAAATTGGATTTGTGAGTAGCTCTCACCAAAATCCAACCACCTTTTTTAAAGGCCTTACCTTGCATGTATCACCTCACACTAAATATAACTTTTGTTGCAAACCTGGACATGTTGCGTACAAATGTCCATTTAAGAGATATAGTCCACATAAATTGATTTGGGTTCCTAAAGGAACCTCAAATGACTCAATTCAATATGATAAGTTGTGTAGATTAATTTTTAAGGCACCCAAGGTCAAATGGATACCTAAAAATCATCTTTTTTTTGTAAAAATATTTACCATCACAAGCTAGGAGCAAGAGATGGTACATTGATAGTGGATGCTCAAGGCATATGACCGGAGATCTATCTCAATTCTCTAAGCTCACTAGCCTAGACAAAAGGTATGTCACCTTCGGAGATAACAACAATGATAAATCATTGGTAAAGGAACCATGTGTAACAAATCCAACTTTTTGATTGAAGATGTATTATTGGTTGATGGCTTAAAGCATAATCTTTTAAGCATTAGTCAATTATGTGATAAAGGATACATCATTAGATTTGAATCCAATGCTTGCATTATTGAAAAATCACATAAAAACACATCTATGATTGCCCTAAAATAAAATAATGTATACACTATCGATATTGATGATCTTTGTAATGAAATATATTTTTGGGTTTTGAATAACGATGCTTGGCTTTGGCATAGGAGATTAGGTCATGGTAGCATGAAACTAATCTCTCAAATCTCATCTAAAGAACTTGTAAGAGGTATTCCTAACATTAAGTTCATCAAAGATAATGTGTGTGATGCATGTCAACTAGGAAAACAAATAAAATGTAGTTTCAAACCAAAGAATCAAATAAATACCTCTAGACCATTGCAATTGATCCGTATGGATTTGTTTGGAACAATTGATACATCAAGCCTAGGAGGTAGCAAATACGCTTTTGTTATTGTAGACGATTATAGTAGATACACTTGGATATACTTCTTGGCATACAAAAGTGATTGCTTTAGGTATTTTTCAATGTTTTGTGAACTTGTTCAAAATGAAAAATGATTTATGATTTCATCAATTCAGAGTGATCACGGTGGTGAATTTCAAAACTATGATTTCTAAAATTTTTGTGAATCTAATGGATACAACTACAATTTCTCTACTCTGAGAAATCCTCAATAAAATAGAGTAGTAGAAAGAAAAATAGAAATTTGTAAGAAATGACAAGAACCATGTTGAACAAACATAGCTTACCCAAATATTTTTGGGCCGAAGCTGTTAATATGGCATGCTATGTTATGAATAGGGTTCTAGTAAGACCATTACTTTCTAAAACTCCTTATAAATTATGGAATAACAAAAAACCCAACGTTTCAGATTTTAAAGTTTTCGGTTGTAAATGTTTTATCTTGAATGAAAAAGATTCCTTAGGAAAGTTTGATGTAAAATCCGATGAAGACATTTTTCTTGGCTACTTTTTTATTTCTAAAGCTTTTCATATCTTTAACAAAA